TTAGGCCTTTAGAAAGGACAGATTTTTCAGTTTTGGTAAGCGTGTGTGTGGAGAGATTGATAATAATTTGTGGGTTGGTTGCTGCTTGCAGTTTCATCAAGTCTGAGGTTGGAAGGTCGTAAGGTGTTGGTGTTGTTCCTCTGATGGTTGTTTTGTGGTTGGGGAGCTTGTTCTTGGAGTAATTTGTTCCATTTCTTCTTTTTATGTAGGATGAATGCTGTAGAAAGTTTTTCGTAGTCTCTTTGTATCCGCTGTATATTGTCAGGGAACATGCATGGATTTCTGTCTTTTAAGTTGTTGTAGTGTATGACGATTTCCTTCCTGAGTTGGTCTCTTTTGGAGTAGAGTAGGTGAAGTAGATGATTTCTAATTTTCTCTGACATGTATTAGCATTCTGGATATGCAAAAAGTTTGAGTTTACATCTATATATGTACAGTCTGCAAACTATCTGGAAGTACATAGGAACACAGCAAGCATCTGCCTGAAGCCACTGAGATGCTCCAGCTGTTATACACTGAAGCTCTTATTTCAAAGGGTTCCCCTTCTCCACTCAGCTGTAGGGGGACTGCTGATGACCTCCAGCTGACAAAGTCAGAGCAAGCAACTCTGTTCTTAATTTAGCAATCCACTGCAAACTAAGTGAGTTGCAAATGATCCATATTCAGATGATCCAGGTTCTACTGTACTTAAATGTAGCAGAAATTCTAAAACAGAAGTAGACATATGAGTGGATTTGGTAACTTCACATTCACAAGCAATACGCTTGTCAGAGGAAAAAAAATCCACTGGGTTTTTGCAACTGTTTGTTGTGTGCTTTGTTTTTCCAGATGTGGTTTTGTTTGGTTTTTTTAAAACAGCAGCAGAACACAGCCTTGTCAGGAAGACTCAGGAAGAATCTTAAATATATCATCATACAGGAAGATCCATAGTGTAGGTCTGTTGCCTGGCAACCTTAAAACAGAAGATGATTTTATGAAAGCTGATTGACCTAGTCTAAGGTACAAAAGGACTGTATTAACATAAGACTTAAAAATAAATACTCGGGAAAAAGTAGGGCTCATCTGTCTCCTCTGAGATGGTTTAAGCTGAAAAGAAAACAAAAAAAAAACGTGTATACAATTGATAAAGCATTCCTGGCACTTGGTTATCCAAAGCTTTGTAGAAGGTTGCTTATGCGCATTAATAGATTTATAAAAGTGGCTTATATGAAAGCTGGGATTCTTATTCTGTAGAGGGACTTTCAACCTACACAATTATCTCAAGGCATGCAGCACTCTAGGCTGTAAAGCCTCTTCACCAACCAATATTACAAAGCAACTTATTAACCCTTATCAAACATTCAGACATGCATGTGAATGTATGCATGCACACCTGCAAAAAATAAGTCTCTGCAGTTTAAGCTGTTCTCTCTCTTTTTTTCTTTTTTTTTTTATACCTCTAATACATCTCTGTGGTACTTCTTCCATACCATCTGAATCATTTTTGGCTTCCTCATCTTTATACCACATTCACTTGAATAGATAATGACCCTGATTATATAAAGATGACTCCCCAATAATTAGATTCTATACCTGGAAAATTATAACAAATTTATAAAAATTCCACATATAGAATCTAATTATTGGAGGTCTGCCTTGAATCTTGTCCCCCTTCCAGTGCTACAGCAGGGAAAATAAATCTGTGAGGTCAGGCATCCCTTCTCCCTCTGCTTCCCCTCAACTTTTTCCCCTGGCAGTCCCGTCTCCCTCCCCTTACTGTCACAGATCCTGCTATTCCTGAACACATGGAAATGAGCA